TTGCAGAGATTGGAACATTACAACTTGAATTCAGAAGATTAAGCGAGTTGAGCAAAAACCCCATATATTTGAAAAAGGTTGATTGAATATCCACATCGATATATTATTATTTTCAGAATTTAGTATATTTATCGTTTGTTCTATAGGCTCAGAAAGTAATTGATATTCTTCAAAGGAAAAATACTGAGCTACCTGGACTTTATCCTGTTTATATCGATCCATCTACTGGTGATTTCGCAACAAGTAAATGTAAAAACTTGACTTTACGTATACGAGTGATGCCAAATGAATTTATAGTACTGCATTTGTTGTTTTTTCTTAATTCAATATTATAATTGTTAGTAGGCAGTGTACATCAATCTGATTCTCATAAATTCTTATTATTTGGTATCACTCATTTAAACCTGTTTTTTATATTCAAGCATTCACATGTACTATATGATAATTTTTTTAATTAAGCTTGGGTGACCTGGGGTGGATTAGGTGATAGTTTCTATGAGGTAACCAAATTATTCTTTATTACCTTCAACTATGATAAATACGGATCAATTTACTGATTATTGGATATGAGAAATTAATAGTACCTATTGAAACAACATATAATGGTTCAAGGCAAAACTTCTCAATATATTGATATGTGGATGTCGGCAGTAAAAACAACTAAAAAAAAGTTGGTCTATATTGCAAAAAAATTTCCTCATCTCACTTATTTGGCTCAATGGAAAAATGGAAAACCGTACTTCGAGATGGGTCATTTGGTAATATTCTATTCGATTTGATAATTCTTACCTAAATTTACTATGGTATGAATGAATTTTACTTATAGGCATGTTTTGCCGGAGGAAATTTTCTTCTGGCTGGGAAATTCCTCAATAATACTTCTCTGATTAAGCTCGGTCTTAAAATAACTACTACATGCTATAATACCTACATTGGAACTAATACTATGATTGGTCCTGAAGTATTTGGTTGGATTTCACCGAATGGTATTGCTAGTATGAAGATTAATCAAAAGCAAAAAGCAATGTACGAAAAACATGGTTATTTTGTTACAGAACCATCGTATCGATTAAGGCCAGGTAGTTATATTTTTGAGATGTTTTGATATTTTTCATGAGTTAAATTTGAAATATCACTTGTAGAAGTTGTTGAGAGTATTTTCTACGCATACCGAGTCACTCACAACCCTAAATATCAGGTACAATTTATATTTAATGTTAAAGGTATTTGTGGTATAGATATTCTAAATTATAATAGCATTGGTCTTTTTTTATTAAAGGATTGGGCATGGAACATTTTTAAATCTATAAACAAATTCTGTAAAACCTCTACTGGATTTTCTGGTCTAAATAATGTTACTAATCTAATTCGTGACTGGAATAATTCACAAGAAAGTTTCTTTTTGGCAGAAACGCTAAAATATCTTTATCTAACATTTAGCAACACTGATTTAATTTCTTTAGATGAGTGGGTATTTAATACTGAAGCACATCCGCTTAGAGTTGGTGGTGCTCTTTAAATTATAATCATTTAATATTATTTGGCTAGTCTATGCCTAACTAAATTAACGATAATGTGCTGTATAGAAATATTATTACAAAACTGACCTAGATAGATTATTACAAAACTGACTTAGATACAGTAGATTATATAAATTTTTAAAACCATTTATTATTTGTAATATTTGTATTGCTCTTGTTGAAAATTCTTTGGGAACTAACCAGATGAAAAGAATACTGTATATATTAATTTTATGCAGCTTAGCAAGATTTATATACTTTTCGTCGTAAAGATAAAGGTGAAATCATTAAATTTTTTTATAAAAATGACGCCAAGTGAAAATAAATAATATTCTCATGAATGTTCTTATGCATTTGTAAGTTTCACTTAACAGTAATACTAAAAGTAGGACCCCGGATAATTCTAAAAGAGGTGGTATATATTACTAAGACTGGACTTTTTTTGGCCCAAATTCTATTTTTTTGGCCCAAACTTTTCTAAACTCTGGCCAAAATTATTATTTTGACCAGAATTTAGAAAAGTTTGGGCCAAAAAATATGTCTAAAAGCGTACGTACGTATCTGGTATTACATTAAAAAAAATCACAAATTTATTGAATAGCTGATAGCCAATTGGTTGTATAAAATCAAGATTTCAAAAAAAATTTTTGATTCTTCCTTCTTGCCGAGGCGAGTTATTCAATATGGTGAGTTAATCTTCCTGATATATTTTTTTTAATGAGAATAAAGCACTTTAGGATTATAATGAATGTTTCAGACTAGTACAAAATGAGAAGAGAAAGTTTTATGTAATTTTGTATAGTTCATCGATACGCAAATTTTTCCCTAAAAAAAAAGCCATTAGATAAGATACCATTCACAGATCAAGTTTAGTATAAGAGCACCATTAATAAGATTTATTATTGATCAACTTAATCTATAATGGGGTCCTTTATATTAAACTTTATCATTATTCACAATAATTAAATATTTTTATCCATTGTAATAGCGATTTTCTAGCTAAAAAATTTATTTACTTATACTCAATATTAGTCGCTCGTCGTGCCTGATAAGAACCAGTTTCAACACATTCTTCGTTTATTAAACACCAACGTCGAGTAAGTTATTAGTTTGATCATTAATCTGTATTGTCAATATATACTTTAATTGTCGATTTCATTAGGGGCAAGAACAAAGTTATGTTTGCCCTGACTGCCATTAAGGGTGTTGGTCGTCGTTACTCTAATCTTGTTTGCAAAAAGGCTGATGTTGATCTAAACAAGAGGTACATTTGAAAAATATTTTTAAAACGTGACATGATAATTTCTGTTCTTAATATCCCCTAAAACAACTGAATCGCAGAGCTGGTGAATTAACCAATGAAGAATTAGAACGTATAGTTTTAATTATCCAAAATCCCACACAGTACAAAATTCCAAACTGGTTTTTGAACAGGCAAAAGGATATTGTTGATGGAAAATACTCTCAGGTCTTGGCTAATGGATTAGAATCGAAATTCCGTGAAGATTTGGAAAGATTAAAAAAAATTAGAGCCCATCGCGGTTTAAGACATTTCTGGGGCTTGAGAGTACGTGGTCAACACACCAAAACTACTGGTAGACGTGGTAGAACAGTTGGTGTCTCTAAAAAGAAAGGTATGTTTTTTTTTTTTTTCGAAGGACATTAAAATTGGAATGATGAGTCTAAAAATCCTTATCTACATTGTCTGAAAAATAACTTTGTTGACAATATATTCTGAAACTCTATTCCAATATTAATTCCAACTTTATTTGAATTGCACTAATTAACATTAAATTTTCAGGTTAATCAAACACTAGTGATTACCGAGCCGATAATTTTGATACGGCTAAGCCTGCTATTATCTCAAAACCAATTAAATCTATCAATAATACTTCAAAATTTCGTACTATAAACTAGAATCCGAAAATTCCCTCTGACCATACCCGTATTTTCTTTTATGCTGTTTATTTTACATAAATCAAAAAGACAAATGTCGTTGTATAACGTTTCTTAAGTAACAAAAAACTATAAACTCCGTTGCGTCATAATTCCAAAATAAAATCACATTCCCGAAGTGAAATTGATTCAGAATGAGATGATACTGCCGTGCTTAAAGTTAACATCTGCTTGAAGTTGCAACTTTATGTGCAATTAGTCCCTGAAATTATTAATTTTAGGAGATGCAACTTCAGGTAAGCACGACACTACGACGCCATTGACTGTTACGCTATAATACGACGGTATTACTCAGAGATGCAGTGAAATTAATTTCCCCAAATTTCACCAATTTCACTGATAGTGATCACAACTTTAGTATCATAGGAAGAAACTCATCTAAATCAGCCCGAATCTGAGGTCCGGGCAATAGACATAATAATGATAGTATAAATAAGAACTGGTGAACAAATAGTACAATAGCATCCGAGTTTTTCAGTTAACAGAAAAACATAACTGAATAAACAAGACGATTGTTGTACTCTTTAAGCCAAATTAGCGGAATTGAACGTTTAGACAAGTTATTAAGAAAAAAGGATCGAAAGAGGCTGTGCTTATTCACAATATAATGGTGTTAAATTTTATTTTTGGGACAAACTTTTTCAAATATATGGGGTTTTTGCTCAACTCGCTTAATCTTCTGAATTCAAGTTGTAATGTTCCAATCTCTGCAA